GTTAGATAGTGTGCTGAATTTCATCACCGCAATGGTTTGCTTTGTGAAGTTTTTATAATCACATCATGATCGGCAGTAATCATGTTCTTGTTTTTTTTCCTTTCCAGTAAACCACGTTCTTCTGTTTTCATCAGTGGTGAGGGTAAAATATATTGGCCAAATTTATTGCAAAATTTCGAACATACTGCTCCAATTGATAGCTTTTAAATTCGAAATATACAGCTCCAATTCATTGCTAATGCTAAGCAGTAGTCTTCATCAACCAAAAGGATCAGGAAAAGTCTTCATCAACCAAATGTTTTCCTCAACCAAATGGATCAGGAAAACTTTCCGTCTTTGAAATTCAATGAACAGATTGACTAATTCTCCAATGGGAATTTACAAAGAAATTGGTATAAGCAAATGATTGTTTCATCCCAAAATTACAAAGAAAGAAAGATTACAAAGACAGGATAAACACAGAGAGAGAGAGAGAGAGAGAGAGAGAGGGGTAGGTTAGAGAAAAGAGAGATGAGAAAGGAGGGGATCAGTTTAACGTCAATTTGGGAGGAAAAGGAAAAAAGAAGCTGCTGATGTGGCCTAAGACATAGGTAATAACGTCAGTTGGAGCAAAAGTTAGGAACTTACTGTTGCCGGGGTGGCTTATCAATAATTATTGGATTATTTGAATGCTCCAAAATTTACTAAATGCACGAAAATGCACGCTTCATAAATGCAGAGGTTCAGAATACATTGTCACATTATAAATTTGGTTGACCGCCGTCATAGAGGTTCAGAATACATTGTCACATTATAAATTTGGTTGACCGCCGTCATAGAACGAATTAGCGGAATTATCGGTTTGATTTTACCAATGGCTTCCGCACATAAGAGAGGTTTTAAAAATATATATATATATTTTAGAATTAAAAAAGATAATGGGTAGTTGTGTTCCATAAAAATAGGATTCATTATTTAATTTTTCTTTTAATTTTTATTTTTCTTAATGTGAAAAAGTGTGAATTTATCATATTATCCTCATTTAATTAATAATTTCAATTTTTACTATTTGCACTAACTAATGATATTTTTTTGGTATTTTGAATGTTTTATCATTTTCTCCCTTTTGATATATATAGATTATGGGGTGGGCATCCAGTTGAATAAATTAAATCGGCCAATTCATACCCTAACTAATAATCGATTGGTTTGGTTTTGACTAAGAAAATGCCAAATGGATTTGACTCCTATCTTTACATGAAACGATCCGATCTCATTCAAGATAGTTTGCTTTATGATGTTTTGTAATATCTGAGGTCAATACATCCCTTTTCTGTAAGGGAGTTATAGCTTAGGTTGTTAAGAGTTTAGGATGTTTTGTAATCTCTCGAGTTCAATACATCTCTTTTTCATAAGGAAGTTGTAGCTTAAGTGGTCAAAAGTATTTGAAGTATGCACATGAGGTCCTAAGCTCGATCTCTCCTTTCCCAAATATCGTTCATATCAAAATATATTGCTTTTCTTAAACTAAAAAGAACAAAAAACTCACATGATTATTATGTGTGGTGGTCCACATAATATTTATGTGGATCCAACGGTGCAAAACACGTCAACCTCCACTCTCTCTTTTCTCTAACCACCAAAACCCCCAAACTTGAGTTTTCTCACTTCTTCAGCAGCCTCGACACTCCATTTCCCCACCATTGTCTCTCTCTGCTCTCTCCCTTTCCCGCCTACTTAAACCTCTCAACAGTCACCAAATGCTTTCACAGGTTCCCAAACCCCTCTCCTTCTTCCAAAACCCATCGCCCCCAATTCCCATTCCCAATCCCACCACTCCCACCACTCCCACTCTCCGCTTCTCAACTCCCAAGCCCTCACTCTCACTCCTCCGCCTCCCTCTCTCTCCTCGCCGGCTCACACTCGCAATGGCCTCCGATCCCGGCCGTCCAGACTCCACCGTTCTGCTCCCGCCCAAAAGTTTCGAGCTTGATCGATTCGCTGAGGTTGCCAACAAGGTAGCCGATGCCTCTGGTGAAGTCATTAGGAAATTCTTCCGTCAGAAATTTGACATTCTCGATAAAAAAGATTCCAGTAAGTTTGAATGTGTGTGCGCGTATATGCTTTGTTTATTTTTTTGGTGAACCTATATGCTTTGTTTGGTTGCTGAGAAAGTTGAGAAACTTGGAAGTGGACAGAAGCTTTTTAATAACGTTAAATTTGGAAGTAAGAGGAATGTGAGTAAGCTGGAGAAATTAGGAATGTTGGATTCAATTTCTATAGCTCTGTTTGGTTTTTGAGGAAATGTAGGAAAAGAAAAATCACAATTTGAATGTTGAGTTTTGTGCTGTTTTGCTTTATAAAATAATTGAGAAAAAATTGAATTGTTTAAGCTGACTGAGTTAGTGATTGGTGTGGACTACAGTATAGGAAATTTTGAGTCATTGATTTCCTTATTTGTTGTTTTGCTGCAGGCCCTGTGACAATTGCAGATCAAACAGCGGAGGAAACTATGGTTTCGATTTTATTAGAAAATTTTCCTTCTCATGCTGTGTAAGTTTTGTATGTAAATAGATCATTTTCCAAGAATTTCTTTTGGTTGCAAAAAAATTGGAGGGTTTAAGTTGAATTGAATTGGTAAATTTCGAGTCTTTAGGTTTACAGCTGTATAGATTCCATAATGTGACAATTTTTTAGACCTAAAATAAGCTAAAAGGAAATGTTTTTAGGGCCCTAATATGTTGTTGTTCTGGTTTTTAACATTTTTGGTCCAATGCTTTCGTTTTTATATTTGAATATGACAAGTTGCGCTTAAGCTATGGTAAGTAGTTTTATAGGATAGACGAGTGTAGGCTTCTCATTTACTGTTTCCATTCTTTACTGTCCTTGTCCGGCTATTTCCTTCACAACCCCATGGAACACATAAGAGAAAATTCGATTTTTTTCTAAACAACCATGGATTTCTATATATGTTGTGTTATTGCTAAAGTAATTGTGGAGAAAAATTGCAGTTATGGAGAGGAGAATGGGTGGAGGTGCAAAGAGAAGGCTGCAGACTATGTATGGGTTTTAGATCCAATAGATGGAACAAAGAGCTTTATCACTGGTATTGTATTTTTTTGTTAAAGAAAGATTACTGTCTTGAAATAAGTGTTCTGCAAATTTTACTTTGTTGAACCTGCACTTTTTTCCCCAGGAAAACCTGTGTTTGGTACTCTCATTGCTCTGCTACAGCATGGTAAACCAGTAAGAATCATCTGCTACAACATGCATAAAATAAAAACAGGCGTATTTCTATTATTTTTTATATTTTAAATAAAAGTGAATATGTAATATGATTATATGCCCAAGAAAAAACTTTTTTTTCTTCTCCGTTATTCAACAATTGGGATCAGAATTCTGAAATGAAAATTAAAAATCGTGTTAGAGAAAGGAAGAAAATGGGTACCATCGTCACTTCAACACTCGTCAGTTCAAATTAATTTTTGTATCCATTTTTGCATGCAATAGATGTTTTATTGGAGTAAACATGCTCATTTGTGCCCATTTAAAAACTTAGTTTTTGTCCCAGTTACTTGACTGAATTTTTTCACACTGAGTTGGATAAATGCATAAGAGTTCAAATTTAAAGATTATATCTACTTTCTTCTTGAACTGATACCTATTATTTCACCCAGATTCTTGGCATAATTGATCAGCCTATTTTAAGAGAAAGATGGGTTGGGATGAGTGGAAGGAAAACTACATTGAATGGGCAAGTAGTGTCTACACGCAATTGTGCAAATCTGGCACAGGCTTATTTGTAGGTTTTTTTCTCTTTTCCTGTGATATCTATTTTATAGCTAGAAAGTGGTTCTGTGGAAAGCAAACCACGTCTATCAAGCATCATGACCTTTATTGTGAGAAAGTAATTTGTTGGCATCCAGATCTTGCCAGGGATATATAAATTTCTTTTTCTGTCTTTGTCTTTCGGGATTTCTCTTATGTGTTCTAATTATTCCCGTGATTAGGTACACTACAAGCCCACATCTATTCAGCGCAGAGGCAGAAGAGGCATTTATTCGTGTTAGAAATAAGGTAAGTTCTAATGAATCCATAAAGATCAGGGTTCAACATTAGGTGACATGTAGAATACTGCCGTGTTTTTAATATATGATCTATGTGAGAAAATCAGACTCAGTCAATAAGGATTACCTGAAAGGAAAAGGGGGTGAGCAAAAGTTGGGCAGTGTTACTGTTTTGGTCCTTGCTTTGTCCAAGTCTTTTACTTTTTGTGGTGTTCCTATGCTTTTGGGGATAATCTGACCCAATTTCACATTGTGACTCGATGCCAAGCAGTATTGAGATCAAATAACTTTACTAAAACAGATATGTGAGCGGCATTTCTTAGAATGTGATTAACATTTGGAAATTTAATGTGAAATGTGACTCCTAGGTCCAATCCAACATCTTTTCCAGCAGTTATTTTCATCTTAAATATTTGATATTTGTGTTTCTTATAAAATAAAAAGAATATTAAGAATTCCATGTTTGGTCTACAGGTTAAAGTACCACTGTACGGCTGTGACTGCTATGCCTATGCTCTTCTGGCTTCTGGTTACGTGGATCTTGTTGTTGAGTCTGGTCTCAAGGTAAGCTGAACTCTTTGTTGTTAAATTGTATACATGACTAATGTATCCAGTGATGCACTCTTCTCTTGGGAGTGTCTGTCTAGCCATGAAAATGGCTCATTCCCCATGAAGGGTAAGGGCAGAACAATCCGGGGATGCCTAGTGTACGGCATGAGTGGTAGCTAATGTATCTTACTCTCTGGTTGAACTAGAGGGGAAACATAAAACAGAAGGGACTTGTTATTTCTGATGATGCGTTAGGTTACCTACAGATATGCATTTTTCTTTTCTGCTACACTTTAATGCCTATTTGTTACAATGAGCTGTCAAGTCTGCAACCATGCATAACTCTCGTTGCATTTGTCATCTGTGAATTATACTACTGTATTAGATAGAATTCATTGCTTTTATCTAACAAAAATCTCATACTATTTTGTCAGCCATACGATTTTCTTTCACTGATACCTGTGATAGAAGGTGCTGGAGGTGTTATAACTGATTGGAAGGGACATCAGCTTTATTGGGAAGCTTCTCCAAATTCACATGTGAAAAGTAGGTTCTTCTCCATATTCTTTGGATTGGGGTCGTATTGATGATTTGAGTTATGTAGTTTAATATTGTTATTTAATTAATGTGCCGTATAGCACCTGCAAGATTTACATAAATCAGCAAATGGTTTTTGGTGTGTTCCCCAGGTTTTAATGTAGTGGCAGCTGGAGATAAACAGATTCACCAACAAGCTCTAGATTCATTACAATGGCAATGAATAGTTGCATTGTCGATTATCATATAGAGGATTGTACGATGCTTCGGTTTGTCTTTCCGAATCTTCAAGGTTCATACAGCAAGAGCCAAAGATGACATCAGGGAGCTAGGTGGATTAATAATAGGTGAGAATAGAAACGCAAAAGGTGGAGAGCTGAATTTATTATCTCTGTATGATTCTGGTTTGCAAGGGTAGGTTTGTTTGCTGGCATTTGTTCACGGCCCCAGCTTTAGTTGTGAAATAAAAGAGCCCGAAAGTGCCCTCATTTTGCCGTATGTTTCTTCTAGAATCAATTTGCTTCAACAACCAAAAAGGAAATCTTTGATATCAGATGTTATTGCATCTGTCCAACGATGCTTTTGTTGAAAAGCATCATCTTTCAACTCAAAGCATTATTGTTTGAAGGTATCTCGTTGTTTGAGCGTGCCTTTTTAGGTACTAATTAAACAGAGGAAAATAAAAAGATAAGCATAAGGGTAGACCTCCTTGTCTACCTCAATTGTGATTAATGAATTTTTACTCACCATGTCATAATCAGAACCGTTTACTTTCTAAATCATAATATAAAGATAATCTCAGTAGTCGTTTAGTAATTCATACATATCGGATAAATCAATGATTTTTGTAATAATTAAGATCCTTATGATAAATCGTATATATATTAAATGATCTTCAATTTAATCGGTTTTGTGAATAGATTATTTTTATTTTTATTTTTAGAAAAGATGATATTTCATTAAACGCATAAGAAACAAAACACGATAAGAAAATCCAATTAAATACGTAATCATATTAGAGGGCCAAGACCAGATGAAGAAATCCAATTAAATACATAATCGTAATTAGGGGCAATTTTGTCATTAGCTTTGTGCATATATGATCTTTAAATAGTGATTTAAGAAATTAATAGTTCAAATTATGACATAATCATCATTGGACATCCATCATCATAGATAACCTAATCATCATTGGACAATTCTGTTGGAATCAAATTACGTTTCACTCAAGTGTCACGATATACTTATTTTATTGCATAGCATGATCATTTAATGTGTTATTTCACTAAACTCTGCATTTTCTGACATGGATAAATGGCAAAAGCATGACTTGATGCTTCTTTTGATATATTTCAATTCTCCTTTCAAAGAAAATCCAAGAAAAAGGAGAGAGTTAGATGTACTTTCTACAAGTACATTTTTTTCTTTTCTTATTGCCTTATGTTTGTTATTTCTTTTTGTACTTTTCTTCTTGAGTAGGAACATTGTGAGATGGTGGGGAAAACCAAATCTATTTTGGCTCCAGATGCAGAGGTGGGGAGTGGAGGCAGTAGGTTTTGGTGGGACCAGAACATGAAGTTGCATGAACTGAAAATATACAAGACATCCTTGGAGGACCGGAGTCATTTGGTGAGTTTTTAATGATGTTTAATGACGACATTGCTCCTCATTGGTGCTTCAAGGTTTTAACGGCAAACGTCACCCAAGATACAACAATCTATTTCTACTGATACTAGTACTCCAAACCAGTGGAACCATGAACATAGACTAGTGTTTGAACTGTCTGCCAATATGAGACTCTATTTTAGTGACAAATTTAAGACTCATGAATGGAATTAATAAAAATGATGTAGTGTACTTCTCTATTTACAAATAATGAAGAGTCAATTCCCAAAGTATGTGATTTAAAATATGCATTGTTTCAAACTTGAAGAGTCACATCTTTAAGAATTTAATTTCCATTTAATAACAGAAAACTTAATAAATTTTCCAGCAATTCCCCACAGAAATTGAAATTGGCTCAACAATATGCAAAACTAAAAATGCAAACACTTGAGAAAGTTTGATTAGAAAGATACATCACGATAGGTAGCTTTTGGCCTTGAACCTTCCCTAGTGAAATACCATTGAATTTACATGGCTAATCAGTGAACATGATGTCTTCTGTTCAACTGTTTGTGTAAACTCAGACTATAGTACTCACACAATACCCCGCCATACACATCTTGTTCTAGGTTGTGTCTTTGTGGCTCTGGACAACTCTCGGTATTCATGAGTGCTTTAGAGGATTTAGCCTTACAAAATTCTCATAGAGACGGCCCATTTCATACTCATACATGTGACTTCCTATTAGGAGTATCCCACAATACTCCACTTGAATTTCCAAACTATAGGAAAAGTTCGTTAGAGGTACAAGTCCTCAATGTTCTTGCCGACGGAAAATATAGAGAGAGAAAGAGCCTGAGTTAATGAAGTTTTGATTTTAATTTAGTAGTGGGGAGTTACATTCTACTTGATCAACACAGTCAGATCTATTTTTGACTCTAAACAAAAAGAAATCAAACATTAAACTTATCAATTCAAATAATCGAAACATAATTCAGCTCAAAGATTCAATTCTTGCAAGCAAAAACCATCATATATTGCTTGAATTGAATCATCTAACACTCTCATGGCAGGTTTCGAAACGCAATATTGAGCATCTTCAATTTTGAAATATCAACGAAGCACAAGCTTTCTGTGAGAACTGATTTGCACAAACTAAATAAAATGTCTTATGTGACCTAAAATAAGAAGAAGGAAAAAACAACCGAGTTAGACAGGGAGAGTGGGCAGTTGGTGAAGTGGCTCGAATTTGTTGGATCGTGGAGCCAAAAAAAGCTTGCCCTTTCAAGCTTATTGAACCTCAAATTATGTGAACGGGTCTAGTCCATGAAAAGTACATTGATTTGCATATCAGTAATTTCAGTTTCGAACTCTCATAACACTTTTGTGTGTGAGAAAGTCCCCCTGCTCCAATATCATACACAGAAGTGTTTCTTCACCCATCTTGATCGAGGGTATTTTCGGCTCTTTGTGTGCTACAGCCCACGAGTAATTATCTCCTTACATAGGCATAAGATCTATGTTTCCACATTTTCTAAATGAGTTATTTTCACTTTTTTGTTTAAGAAACTTTTCTACCAAATACCAATTGATTGTATAAATGTTTGGGGAAAACAAAACCAATTAATTGTAATTTCCTGTTATTAAAAAGGTTTTTACCAATCGTTTCTGTTCAGTATCAAAATGCATCCCAGTAGTCTTTAATATAATACAAATTTATAAATAAACCCAATCCTAGACATGTATTTATAAAAAAATCCAAGCACTATTTAAACATAGAAACACACCCAAAATCAACCCCAAAGTCAACTTTTTGGGTGTGTTTATAAATAGGTTTTGAGTGTGTGTAATGATGGGTTTTGGGTGTGTTTATAAAGTGTTTTGGGTGTTGGGTTTTTTTATAATTTCAACCTCCATTTTGGGTGTTTTAGTGAAACTCCCTTAATATAAGTTATGTCTAGATTAAATTTTGTTAGAACTTACATGGTTAATTAGTAATTTAGAACTTATATGTTTTTTTGTCATATTTGTCCTCCGCGGGAGTACATAATTGCGTATTTGATATGTACTTTGTATTATATATGATTTTTTTTGGGGGGGGGGGGATGCTTGTTAGTGATTGTATTTGGGTATTCATCTGTACACTTGTTTAAATTTTGATGTACAAGTATATGTACAGTTCATGTACGCATATACGGTCCGGTCTATGCGATAAATGGTTTACGGTTTTAAATTTTGAACGAAAAATACAGTCAACTAACTTATTACACTACAATTATTTGCTAGTGGTGAAACAATTCTGTCATTATATAGGTCTTTAATTAGCATTGATATTTTTCACATAATATTGTCCAGATTTCTGAATATAATATCGTGTACTTTAAGATGTTTTTAGGGCGTCAGAAAATCATGTGCCGGTGTGTTATCTTTTTCATCCACGCCTGTTCTTGTTTCATATTAATAGAGTCCATATGACGCTGCCCAAAGCCAGCAGCCCACTCAATGATGGTCTTTTTCAGGAAAGTCTGTCCTCCTCCTCAGGATTTGATTGAGATCTTGTGATCTTTGTAAGTATAGGTTTAACAAATGGGGCAAGATTTTGACCCCAAAAAAAAAAACCAAATAGGGCAATATGCTTGGGATCCAAGTAAAATTTCCCATAAATATGTAGACGGCCTCTTCTGTATAATTAAATACCTTTTGCTTATTTTGGAAATAAAGTTAATCCAATTCACATGTAAAACTCTGACACTTATTTTTTGAAAACTGGTAGGTATAGTGAATTAAAAGCTTTGAATACATTTTTGAAAGAATTTTATTTGACAACATTTTCTGCACAGCCGAGCAGAGCATAGAAGAAAATTTGGTTCAAAAGTAAAAGCTTCTGAGAAGGAATGGCTGCAGGTTTAGCTAAGTGTTCGCGCGGCGGTATGTGATTTTGCATTGGGATTTTTGAGTGATCTGTTCGTTTTATTTGTGTCACTTGCCCAAGTATTAGACTCTAAATCTCCATTGAATTAGTGTTTTGACTGCTTGATCTGAAAAACGATATGCCCCATGTTTCAAAATTTGTTCTTTCATGTTTTTTCTGGTTCTCTCTTGCATTTTATATCTGCTTTTTGCTTACTGGCTTCGTATAATTCAAACAATACTAGTTTTCTCGAAGTCTCTTGTTCATATCTCTCATCGAAAGGTGCTATTCGATAATGTCTATCAAAAGGTTTATATATCTTGTTCATATCTGTTCCATTTTATGAATTTTTTTCTGAGAGATAAAAAAACGTACGGATGTTTAGTTATCTGATCCAACATTATATCTCAGTTTCCTGGATAATAATTTTTAGTTTTTTTTTTCTGTAATTATTCTCTTCCCTATTTTACTCACTGCAATCTATTCAATCTTCTGGAAACAAACCCTAGTGGGTCGTTCATTGATGGGGGGGCTTGGCAATAACTTGTCTGGCTTATTGAGGACATCACATGATATGACATGCAGCCCTTTCTTGTCTCAGGTCAGTGTGTGCATCTGATATTTCTTTGAAGATTATAACTATGATTAGGAAATATATTCATTGAATCTTTATTAGGATCGTTTGGGTTGAAGTGAGGATTAAATCTTACTAGAAAAAAATTTGCTTGGTTTTCGTACAAAATGTTTTACTGGATGTTTAAAATCTTGAATATATATTATTTTTTAGTACAATTGATAGTCTAAATTACGGGGTAAGAGGATATCTCTCTCACATACACTACCATGATGCCATGGGGTTTCGAACACGAGCGGAACTACCTAGTGGGCTACACTAGGCTGTAGCCCAGGTAGCTTTTTCAAAAAGAAAATATTCAACCTATATAACCCATTGACTGAGAATATCATCTTGTGGCTTCTTGGCAGTTTTTCACATAAAAAAGTATGCAAGTTTAAAGTTCCACATAAAGAAATAAATATCCTAGTATCCTAATTGGTCCCACATAATAAAGTATCCTCGATTATAATAAACTATGTCAAAATAAAAAATATACATGTGAAATTTAGCCTAGCAGCTGTCCTAAAAAAAAATACATGCTCCTTTTTGTATTCTTTGTTACAAAAGACTCATTGGTAAAATTCTTATTCCTAACTCTCCAATTTTAATATTTTCATTGATATGTCTCAATGAAATTCACTTTTTTACGAATAAGATGAAATGAAAATGTCACAAAGATATCATTTGATAGATAGGTTGATTTGCAACAAGATGGATTCATATGACAATAACAAAATATTTCAATTCTCTCAAGGATCTCAGGGAACAACTTCAATAGATACATTTTCAATTATGTTGTTAAACATATATTCATTTTGATAATATGTTTTTTTTTATTGCATCTAATATGTATTTGTTTTATGTTAAATCTTATGTGAAATTAGTCAATGTAGCTATAAATTGCATGGTTTATATAATTTAATGTTATACTTTTGTTTTAGCCAAAAAATTTAGCTACCCCACCCTTCGAAAAATTCCTGGTTCTGCCATTGGTTTCAAACCCGAGACCACTAGTTTACAAGTCAAAGCCTTTTTTAATTAGGCTAGATGCCGTGGTCGAAATCTCAATTAGATAAAATAGCAACTCGTTTATTACATAGTATTGACAGGAGCTTGAATTGTTGTTTTTGTGCACTTTTACAGCAGCAAAGGACCTTCATACAGATGGGGACTATTCTCCAAGTCGCAGACAACTCAGGGGCGAAAAAGGTGAGGTGCATACAAGCTTTGAAAGCAAGCAAGAAGGGGGCAAGATTGGGAGACACAATCGTTGCATCAGTAACGGAGGCACATCATTTCAATGCCAAGATCGAGCGAAAACATCAGAAAGAAGAGAAGAAGAAAATAACGGGGAAAGGAGCCGTGGTGTATGCCGTGGTTGTTCGTGCTGCTATGCAACGAGGCCGTTGTGATGGGAGCGAGGTCAAGTTTGATGACAATGCTGTGGTGCTTGTTGACAAGAATAATAGGCAGCCGCTTGGGACTAGAGTATTTGGACCCGTGCCGCATGAGTTGAGGAAGAAAAAGCATCTGAAGATTCTTAGTTTGGCGCAGGATGTTGCCTGAAGTCAAGATGCACAATGGGACGCAGGAACGCTTATATCTCAAGCAATGAGGTGTTAAATCGGAATAAAGTTTGGTAATCACGATTTGGCTTGAATTTAGAATATTGAACATATTGGCCAAGGATTTGTTCATTGCAAAATTCATGATCAAAATTCCCAGCAAAATTCATGGCTTACTAATTCCACGAGTAAAAGCCACAAGTTCATTGCGAGGTTGAATATAAACAAAAGTATTACAATCAGAAATTGGAATTTTAGAATGCATACATGGATTCCTAAATATGCTAAACCCTTTGATAGATCACCCAATTGGGGTGAACACAACATACCATGAAGCTTTTATTATTCATCAATAAAGATGAATTGTTTGTTAAGAAGAGAGAATCAGAGATTTAGCGTAAGGGGGGTAAATCATGGACAAATTTTGATAATATCAGCTGTAAAAGACATCTTAAAACAACAGTAAACTAAGCAACGAGCAATTGAATGCGCGAGAATCATAATACTGAAAATAAGACTCAAATAATGAAATTTTGTCTAAATGTTTCTTCAGAACACAATTCATAGTGTGCCTCTTGTGGTAAACACATTCATGGAAGTTAAATTGCAGTACCACCATCCACATCTCATAAGGAAAATACAGCACAACAGAGCACATGATTGGAGTTTCACTCTTTAATGACTCTTTGGTAGTTTCAAAATTCAAGTTTATTCCTTCCCAAAATCGGCATTGTAGTGCGCACTAGATTCAAGCTTCTTGGCTTCATTTAATTTTCGTACAGCCTGAAACATTATAGAATATTTATATGTAAAAATTTAGAATCAAGATGTGCACAACTGATTATTTGTATACACAGTGCGCAAGGAGTAAGACAGATATAACTAAGCAGCAAAATTTATGTACAGAAACAAAAATTGATGCCACTTTGCATTAGATAAACATCTGACCCTAATGGCAGAGTCTTACTTATTTCCCCTTATTAAGGAATAGGTATTGGGTTCGATGACTCCTAAACAAGTCAGTACTCAAAACCCCATAGATGATTGACCCAGCCAAGCCATTGGACCCAAAAATAGAAAAAAGGTACCTCAGATGCACTAATGTATTCTTGAACTTGTAAATTCTTCGTAAGATCTAAAGTGATTACTTTTCCATAGTTAACAAAAAGTAAAGTTAAAGCATATAAAGTGTATCCCGAGGCTATCTTCAGGGATCTATGGTAAAGCAGCTCCTAAACAGATTGTGACCCAGAACAACATGAAGCAGACAACCCTAACCACAGCCCTAAATATTCTTTGATTTCATCTTTAGTTGTTTGAACAATGATATGACATCAGTGACTGTTCACATTGGATTTACAATAATTTTCGGGAATGGACATCACTGATTGTTAACATGGAAGCAAGCACATAACTGACACCATAGCCCATGTAGTTTGAAAGTTCATTTCCGTCTCATAGTTCACCATTGTTTAACAGAATCCAAAGGCAATACTGTATTTAACACGTTACCTTCATGAAATCTTCATGGATGACATAATCCCTCTCAGCACGGATCGCAGACATCCCAGCTTCAGTGCAAACATTCCGGAGATCAGCTCCATTAAAGCCCTAAAACGAAGACATTGAAATCATTTAGGTAAAGGATGTAAATAAATCCGTTCGATACAGACAACTATATCATGCTCACCTCAGCAAGCTTCACGACAGCTTCATAATCAATTTCACCATGTTTCGCTATCCCAGCAGCATGGATCTTGAGAATTTCCATTCTTGATTGCTCATTAGGCAATGGGATCTCTATCTTGCGGTCTAGACGGCCCGGGCGGAGAAGCGCAGGATCTAGGACATCAGGTCTATTGGTTGCCATGATCATTTTCACCTAATAAATGAAATTAATCAACTTCCATCATCCATGCAAAGACATGATGTACTTATATCCATCGTGGGTTTGTAAAAGCATGACCAGATAAACATGCTTACATCTGTTTGTTATGATCAAACCAAATAAATCAGGCATGATCTAAATGAAAATATACATACCTTTCCAAGCTGATCAAATCCATCTAACTGGTTAAGCAACTCCATGAGTGTTCGCTGAATTTCACGGTCTGCACTGGTCCCTTCACTGAAACGCCGTCCACCAATAGCATCGATCTCATCCATAAAAATGATACAAGGCTAGACACAAAGTCAAAAAATTAGGTATGCTTTTAAACATTAATGTGTAATGTGAAAGTGCTCAATAAAATTCAAAGTTCCAACCTGGTGATCACGGGCATAACCAAACATTTCCCTTATCAATCTCGCACTCTCACCAATATACTTGTCAATAATGGCACTTGACACAACCTAGACTCAGGGATAATAACATCAAATATCAAAGATGTGTTCAAACAACTAAAGTCCTTTTTTTAAAAAAAGTAATGGAAGATATAGCAGGAAAACTTAGAACTTCATACAGAAGCTGCTATAGACAAGGATAACTTACCTTTAAAAAGTTAGCATCTATATTGCTAGCAATTGCTCTGGCTAGTAATGTCTTCCCTGTTCCCGGAGGTCCATACAGAAGAACACCCTGGAACAATTTAAAAACAAAAAGAAAAGGAAAGTTCCATGTGAAAATTCTACATTTCTAGGTTTCTAAGGTAAGCATATCAGGTTGTGGAAAATATCGAACACGAGAAACTATATATAAATTACCTTGGGAGGTTTGATCCCCACTCTGAGGAAGAGCTCAGGATTCATTAAAGGCAGTTCAATAGATTCCCTGAGCTCTCGGATCTGATCTGATAGTCCTCCCACAGCGGAGTAGCTAACATTACCAGGATCTTCATGAAGCATATTATATACAACTGGGTCAACCTGCCAACCAAAATATGAAAGAATGTTCATGAGTAGACGAATAAAATGTGAAACTTAATAATTAAGAATCAGATTATCATTACTTCTCTGGGAAGAGCTCGCATGATAGTCAAAGTAGTCATATCCAAAACAACCCGAGTGCCAGCTGTTAGTTTTTCCTTGTCAACTTTACTGCGACAGCCAACTACATACCTTGGGCCACTACTTGCCTTCACTATCACTGAGGCAATAAAAACAAAGATCATTATTTTGGCAGGCAGTCCTCAAACACAGAGAAGCACTAACAAAACTATACTCGCTGAAAATTAACATTCTTGTTAAGATGGTTTCGAACAATTAAGTTTTACACCAAGAAACAAGTATGAACCAAAGTAAATAGTGTGGTAAAGAAACGAATTTACTTACAGCGTTCATTATCGAGAGGCCTGAGAACTTCGCCTATAATTTGCCCAACACTTTGAAGGGACTTCAAATCATCTTCAGTTTTCCCAAATTCTTTCTTTGCGGCCCGCAAGTTATCTCTCACTGCACCCATCCCATTGCAAAAACAAAAAGAAGAAGAAAAAAAATCAATTGCGACCCAACTCTTGAAACTAACTAAATTTCTCAATTTATTGCAGCAAACACCATATGCATAACACAACAGAAAGCCCCCAAAACCACATCAAACAAAAACAGAATTGAATCGCTCAATTTGAAAATCAGAATCGAAACCCTAGCAAAGCGAACGAAACTAAAGCATACTAATTTGGGCAATCCTTGAGTTAGTTGCAAAAGAGGGATTAGGGTTTGGGAGTGAATCTGACCTGCGCGAACTCGGGAGTCGAGCTCCTTGTGCTGGAGTAGCCGTTTGCGGTAGTCGGCAACCGCCGTGCGACGTCGTACTACGTCCTCTGCCTCGGTCGTCATCGCAGCAGTAGGAAGAGAAGGAGGAGAAGTGAGCAGAAAAGAGAGAGTGGGGTTTCGTAATGAGAGATGGAAGAAGAAATCTAAGCTGGGCAAAGCTATTTGTATTTGTATTTGTATTGTCAGGCAAGCAAGCTACTCATTTTTTCCCTTTACTTTTTGGAACACGATTAAAACAAAAACAAAAACAAAAACAAAAAATTTAATAGATGGGTATATCTATCTAAGTATTATTGTTCACATCTTACTCTTTGGCTCTAGATCTAAATTGAAATTTTTTACTATTTTACTAAACACATTTTCTCTATAATATTCAGAAATATTCTTTTAAAAAATATATTTGTTTATTTAAAAACTTAACAATAAAGAAGATCAACGATACCCGACGGATGACAATGGGTCGAATTGGGGGTGGGTATGCCATTCTCATCCCCATCCCTATTAAGCTTTTTTTCCCCATCCCTGTCTTCATACCCGCAATATTTATATAAGGGATTCTCTATCCTCACCTTCTGCCCCATTACGGAAAAATAAAACAACAATATATAACTACTTTGTTGAACAAAAAAGTATTAAGGCAAGATAATGAATATATATAATATATACTTATAAGACAATATTAGAATGTTTATATATGTATTAGAAGTTAACTAAATAAATAAGTAGTGTGGCTTAAAATTTGTATAAATTATTTAAGTATATAATATAATAATATAAAATATAAAACTTAGTCGTACAATCACTTTAATAGCATATTTATATAGAAATGAGTGCAATGTGAATTAGTTTCATTTTCCTCCATAAATCATACGGATGAAAAATGTATAAGGCAGTCAACATGGTTTTGATTTGGGAGTTGAAGGAAGAGGGTCTAGTACCATATTTAGACAACCATTAGCTAATAATATATAAAGTTTGAATGATATTGAGGAGAAAGACGCAAAACTGCCCATCTGTATTTTGTTAACTTATAATAAAGTTAGATTTGGTATTTAATTAGACACTAAATTGGGACACATCATGAAATGCAGAGGAAACAATTTAATCAAATTTGTTAGCAGAGAGAGATTAAAGATGGTATATTTAAGCCACAAACATGCAGGGACTTGGAAGACTAAGAACCAGATTAATGAAAGATTTTGAATATCACACACAGTCAGCTGCACTAAACATCAAAGCCCTATTTTGGATGCAAATTAACAGAGAAGGTGTGTGTGTGTGTGTGTGTGTGTGTGTGAGAGAGAGAGAGAGAGAGAGAGAGAGAGGTTGAAATCTTGTTTGACGAATTCAAAGTTAGTGCAGCCGTTAATTCAAAGTAACTGTGAGTCCAACCGCTAATTCTTTTCAAATCCTAAAAAAAGAAACCAAAACAAAAAAAAACTTTCAAAGCAAAAAATCTTTCTCCACAA